TCAAACTCATTAGAAATACTCAGATCAAATAAATTTCATAAAATAGCATTAATTTTCTACTCTACAATAAATTGCATCTTTTTCGATTATTATGCTTAAGAAAAGTAACAAGAAATTATTATTGAACACTGCTATTAATAAAAGTTCTTATATCTTTGCTTTTATATAAAGTTTCTAATTATCTTTCGCTCGTTTATTTATTATATATCTATATATATTATATTATTAAGATTATATATTTTGTATTAGTCATGTAATAATAAAGAAATAAATCAAATCAAATAAACGTTTTAAAATTTTTGTCTTTTAAATAATATATTTATAATCGCATTCATAATTTCAAGAGATCTTTTAATTGCGATTTAAAATTTTTGATAGAACTTTTTTATATACAATACTTTTGTTTTATATTAAGATTTCAAATATAATTAAATAAATATAATTAAATAAATCGGTAACAAAAAAAAGAAGTAGAATTAAGATTAAAAGGATACTTCTATGTTTACCACGTACATCTCCAAGCTCCTAATTTCTAATTAAATCAATTGATCCGACATCAATTAGTACAGCTAAACGTTCGATTTAAATTGGGCGTACTGCCGACTCAAATTAATTTACAAATTGCGCAATGCTGTTTCAAAATTTTCTCTTTAACTCTACATGTTATTTTTTTATAATTATGCAACAAAATTTTATAAATTGTTTTATGCAAAAACAACACTGAAATTTGTGTAATAAATTATATATAAACATATTCTTATTTTGCAAAACTTAGATTGCTATAAATAAGCATCTATAGCAATGGAGCATCTCAATAAAATGAAAACTATACTTCTATTGTTTAGTTTTTTCTATTTTTTTATTTTATTGTATTATTTACAAAATTATATTGGATTTTAGTAGCTCATTCGAATAAGACTAAATTAAATTCAATTATTTTTTATTTTGAATAATTTTATTAAAAGATTTTAGTAAAACATTAATCAATATATTGAACTGACTAGCTGTTGTTGTTTAGATGTTATAATTAAGTCGTTTCTCAAAATCCACGTGTAAAAACGTTCCGTCATTTTTCGTTAGATGGCGACAGCTTGCAAGCTCTCTCTCTCTCTCTCTCTCTCTCGCTTTTATCCATATTGCCGGATCGAACATAGCGATTAACAAGATTTTAAATAATCGATGAAGCTCCAACTCAATCATGCATTGCCGGTATTATCGAGTCATCGATAAAATTGAGTGGATCACTTTGCCTGATGGAGAACAGAGCGCTCTCTCAAGGCATGACGCGACCTCCTTTAGTGACGCCAGCTGGAATTACCGATGGATTTTCACGGAACGATGCTAGTACAAACCTAGCTTTATAACCGTCGATATACGAGTAATTCAAAAACTACACCAACAATCGCGAAGCTTATGTAAACTTTTTTCATTGTCGAGATATATAAAATCATATCTTGAAAGTTTGATGCAATTCTCTCTTTCTCTTTCTCTCTCTTATATTTTATTAATCTTAAAAGAATCTAAAGAATAAGAAATTATGTATTCAAAGAAATATTCAAAGAAAACTTTATACGTTTGTACCTATCATTGGATTCTCGACATGCTATAATTTTGCATTATTCATGCATATAATCCGTTCACGTTCGTATTCCAACTCATCTGCAATCTGATTTAATAATGCAAATCTTTTTGCAATATACTATGCAATTTTTTTGTATCGTATATGCAATTTTTTGTCTTATCTCCATTTCATTTTCTTCATAATGAGAATTTGTTCATGCAATGAGTCTACATTACACACACACACACACACACACACACACACGCGCGCGCGCGCGCGCGCGCACATATATTTATATATGTCGAATTGTAGTTTCTTTTTGACATGTCAATTACGGATCAACGTTAACCATTTCCATTTTTAACAAACGCGACTGTGTAGGAAAGTTATCGTGTATATCGAAATTGCCTTCGCGATATCGAAAGCACGGTTATCGATCGTGACTGCTGGCGTTGACCCGCGATTTACTCTACACATGTCAGCCGTTGCGGTGTCTGCGTTTAACCGCGATGTTCAATTTGCCCTCCAGTCAAACCGCTTCCGGTTTTCGGCAAACCGTCGCTACTTCCCAATAGTTATCATAGTTGTGCTATTAGAAGTGTCTGATAAGGTCAAAGAAAGCTACTGAAAAGCTACGGAAAAACTTTTGCGTAATTTTCGATAGCAATAAAAAATTATGATTTTATATATAACTTATAGATTATTATACATTAAACATGATGGGAATACTCATTTCAGCTATTTAAAAAATATAAAGGCATATCATAAAGTTTATGTTTTTGTATTATATTATCTACATTACAAATCTATGAAATTTTTAAACTAATAAAAAATTTACGAATTTATAAATATTTTGAATCAGAGACTTGTAAATTCTTAAATCGTAAATATAAGTTATATTCCTATTAATTTTTAACAATAATCAATTCCCATACGTTTTATTTGTTCCAAAAAGATATTTTCCAAACGAAGGTTCTAAAATAATCCACAGAATTCACAAAAATAAAGCTTTTTTAAAAAACAAGAATTATTTACAAAGTTTCAGCTTACATTACGTTGCATTCTCCATATTACTTGCTCTATTAATTCTTGCTGCACCAGAGTATTTAAAATTTTCCTGCAGAAATTTAATGGACCGACAAATGATGGTGCTGTGTTACTAAGTGATTGTCATTACTCATTTAAGATTTCCGGCAGTAGTACGACCATTTGTCGGCCAATGTATTCATTGAGGAAGCGCGTGAGGTGATGATGAAACGTGGTACGTGGCAATGGGTGGTGTGACGTGTGATGATGTGTGAGCAAGCAGCGCCTGGCTGTCGTCCAGCTTTTCCGACGTGATTTACATGGCAGAACTGCGCTCGACGTCTCTTTTTCTTTCGACGGAGGGCGGCAGCATGAAAACATCCCATTTCAGCCCAATTCCGATTTTTCATAAATTTAATGCGCTCCAGATAGTTTCCGCCAACATCAATAGGATCTTTAGAAAACAAGTGAATATCGACACGTTCACTGTCATTTACCGAATCTAATATACATATTATAAACTTAAAAAATATTCGAAAATAATTTTAAAAATTTATGGTCTATATTACTAAAAAAAATTATTAAAAGGAACGGTGCATAACAATATTTTTAGACACGTTTCTATTTTAACGTTTAAACATTTTATAAATATGAAATATATAAAATATGGATGATATAATATACAAAAAGTAAACTACATACATAGTTATTTTAAAAATTATACCAAGTCAAATTATATAAAAAAGTCAAATTAAATAGAAACATTTAGACTTTAGAACATGCAGACATTTTATATTTATTTTTAAAGCTTTGTGAATTTGTATATATTTTTAAATTTAAAAATTTTAAATGTAAAATGTAATTTTGTTTTTCATATTTTAGTATTGTACCGATAACAGGTAAGATTAAATAGTAATTAATACTTTCTCATGCTTTCGAAACTTTTCTCTTTAATCAATATTTGCATCAGTTCAATATAATCCTCATTCTGAATTAATTGAATATGAAGCTGTTACTGCGAGTCAGCATGTGCAAATTGTAGAACGGATGTATTTTATGCACTTTCATCCTTCAAAACCCACAATGATCAGAATGCTTGTACTTCATTTCCATCCACTTTATGTTTTATGGAATTGACGCAAGTTTCCAACTGAATATAAAATATTCAGTGCAAATATCAATGTTATGAATTTTTGACAAAAGAATAAAAATTATATAGTGATATAAACTCATTTCTATGACAATTTGTTAAAATTATAAATATATATATATATATACTTACATATATATACTTACATATATATATTATATACAAAATTTGTTCGCGTCTATTCATTATTTTTACATTGCATCAGACACGTATTTTAAATTAAGATTATATTATCCTGCATGTTACTTTTACACGTTTGGTTTTCGCTTCCTAATTATTTCGCATTACTCGGCATTTTCTACGTTGCTGCAATAGGTACAGCAAAGATTAAAAAATACAAAATAAATTTCTATTTCGTGTAAAATAGAAATTCATTCTTTAGTTACGTTAGAACTATAAATTATAATCTTTAGCTTTGCAAAAAAAGTAATTACATAAATCGTCAAAAGGTTACATAAATTACATAAATCCAAGTCAATTTACATTTCTGCTTTGCATTCGTTTGATAAGAGAGTCTCTTTATCGCAAGACTAAAGTGCTGATTTGTATCCAATGAGTACAAAGAACGGTATTAGTGAAAGGAGTATAGTCCTTCGTTCAGATTTTGTTTGATAAAAGCCAAGCCCCATAAAAGCCTCCAATGTCTCTAAAGAAATGGATTCGTATTGATCTAAGACTTTCTGTTCTTTTCATGAACCTGCTACGATTCCGAAAAACCTCATCATTTGCTGTTTCGCAGGTAAATCCTTATCACGATCATAAAAATAAAAAGTTAAAAATGGTCGAGACCTTTTCCATCATTCGAAACTCGTTTTAAAACTTTTTATAATCTTCTCATTTGAAAATCAACAAATTTAATGTACGACTTATATTATTCTTTTCATAAAATTAAGCACTAAATATTTGCATACCAAATTTGTTAGTGAGAACAAAAGTCCCGGAATTTTTGTATGTATTATTCATTTAGTAGAAATTAAGAATGCAGATTTTTTTTCATACATATATTACATTTCCAATGCAAAAATGTCAACTGTATTTTTTATTTACAAAAAATTGAATACCGACTGTATATTAAAAATTAAAATACAAATATATATATTTAAAAAACACTATTAATTTGTTAATTTTGTTTTATTTAATTTTATATAACGTAAAATATCTTTGTTAATATATTTATATATAATGTACGATGTGATGGAATATGTAATAATAATAATAATATGTGGCTAACAATGCTATCAATCAAGCGAGATTAATACTCACCAGTTGGGCTAGGTGTAAGTTCCTTCATCGCTATCTTGACATGAAGATCATATCGCTGGAAAAGCCCTAGCCTTGGACCCCTCGTACTTCTCTGCAGCGTGTTAATAGCAGTAGTGACTGCTCTGGTGTACTCCCTCACGCCGAAGGATTTGTACGGTACCATCATGCCCACCTGTTACACAAATATGATGGAGAAAATATGAAATTTTAGTAAGGCGTCTGTTAGACTGTGTGTCTTACAGATGTATATCATGCGTTTTCGGACGGTGCAGAAACGAACAACGTCAGGTGATAAATCATTCTCGTTCCATCAAACGGTGAGAAAGATCGTCAACAGGTTGTACAAAACGATATTTCGCCAAGTTTCGACCGAGACGTGGCAGTTGACGCGGCCACTACGTTACAAATGGTCCGAGTTTAGCAACGAGTGTTATTGTACAATATATATTCACTCGTGACAGTACGATTGCGTTGGGAAATACGTTTATTACATACATGTCATAATTTTACTTTATCATCATTATTGTTGCATCATTATTGTTAGATATTTTGTAATTCTTCTCTTTATTAAATTTTGCTTAATTTATGTTAATTTAGTATTTGATCAAATTGAACTGTATTATTTTGTTATGTTATTATTTATTTGTTTAATGACTATAAATATTGACTGATCTAATAATCTCAATGATAAATTATTTTTTATTCATACTCTTCGCGTCAAAGAATTTGTATAATATATCATGTCCGTTTGTTACATAAATATAAAAAAGAAAATAAATAATTTTGATCCATTTCAAACTAATCAAATTAGATTATTTTCTATGCTAATTCATGCACTTTTTCTCTTCTAAAGTTAGGAAAAACCGGGGCATCATAGGTCACGGGGTACCATGGATCATCGATTGTTTAACATAATCTACAATAGAATGTTTAAATTAATGCTATTAGTACAATACGACTGTTCACTTCATTGCCCATACTTTTTATCTAAGTGGCAGTGATTAAATTTCATTGTATCGAAAAGCATATCGTTCGCCTAAGTCCGTATCTACGAGATCTTAAACTCGGATTGTTCGCGTTCCCGCATTGTTGCGCTTACTCGCGGACACTCCCTCCCTACGATAATTAAGCGGTATTATTTAATCTCGGGCCTGATCGTTTTTTATCTGATCGCATATCTGTCTCTAATAGCGGTAGACTTCTCGAGGATGTCATGGCGTCTCTTCTCTCGTTTTGACATGCGCAGATCGTAGGAACTATTTTCACACTCTTATGTACTCATTAAATGCTTAATTATCGTTTGTATATTCCAATTTTCTTCTTCCTGTCGTTAAAATACATAAAATAATAGTTTTTAATAAGATACGCCGGCTTATAAGTGCCGCTTATAAACACCGAGTACGCCGAATACGCCAAAGTGCAGCATCTTCTGCCATCTGTCACTTTGGTGATTATGTTGCCTATTTTGCGCTAATTACTCGAAACTTGCCAATTTCGTGACACAGAATTACTTATCTTTACCGCACCTATCGTCCTAAAATGATTTTACATTCAGATTCTGCATTTTGGCATAATCATCGTATTCGCTTCCGTGATTTGCACGTTCTCTCAAAATATCTATATATGTTATACTGATTCTTAAAGTTAAGAAAACCGAATTTCTCTTTCAATCGTATTTTTCTACAACTCGAAACAAACTCTTTAGCCAAAAAAAATTTTACTTGGAAGGAAGGAAGCTGAAGGCAATCCAGAACCGCGAGAGAGGCTGAATCCCAGGATTCTGAAATTAATTCAATCTTCTCTCAGTTGTAGGAGAAATTGAGTAGCGACCATCAAGTAGTGCCAGAGACATAATATAATTATTTCATCCGTGGAATTAATTAATTAGGACACTTAATTGGAGAATATTCAGAATATGGTCATATCCCTATCCCGGATCTATCCCCTATCTAATCCCGATCTAACCGTTGGGGTTGGCCAAAATCTACCTCCCCCCCTCCCGAGTGAACCGTTGAGTGAACCGTCGGCTAGACCCTACTCCATATATCTCCATAAAGAATCAGTCAGATTGAAATATCAATTACCGATTTCGAAAGTAGAGATTTCAAACTCTCAAATGCTTTTTTGATTTTTTGTCTGCGATAATAATAATTTTTCACCGAGTTATAGTGTTCTGAATATTGCGCAATTTTGAGGACGTTCTAAAATGTTCCCTATTTTTTATTGAATAGTGTATATAGATTACGTACTTATATCTAAAAATGAGAAAAAGTAAATACATTGTGACTTTTGATAGATCGTACAATTTTGTCATTATATTATTAAACTATTTAATTAGGTAATCAATATTTCCTTTATCCAATGTCTTATATGATTTGTAAATTGTAATGTCGATATGTAAATATTTAGCTTAATAACTTCTTAAATATTAACGTTAGATCGTTACAATTTTTACTTGTCGCCAATGCATCGCATCACGATCGACAATACATTAAGCGCTCAAAGCGATCAGAAAAGTGCAGCAAGGGGGCATCTTGTTCACTTTATTACCACAAGAATGGACTAGCGCGCACCTGTTGCATAAATCGATCGATGCGAATGAATACCTACGTGTAGGCTTAGACTGGACAGCGGCTTACGTTTCGATCTATCAATAATGCTTTTTAGCAAAGGACCAGTTACTTTAAAGTAGTCCTTTAAGGAAATCGTTTCATCATATTTCTGCAACGATCAGGACTTTGGTTTTTGGCACAATATTTTTTTCATAATTTTAAGATGTATAATGCAATCATGAAAGATTTTGATTTGAGATTACAAAATTTGTAATCTCAAGCGCGCGCAAAGAAAAATGAAATCCTAGATCTTTCATTATCAATATTATACAATTTATTTGGAAATAAAATAATTTTATTTAATTAAAATATTAAGAAATATTAATATTGTTTCCTAGCCGTACAAAATATATTAATATTGTTTCCTAGCCGTACAAAATATATTAATATTGTTTTTGTTAATATAATAATTTATACACGTCTGCGATAAATGTAAATATTCTAAAAAGATTTATAATTTATAATTTTTTTATTTCAAGTACATTTAGAGATGTAAAAATATTTTCTATAGAAATATTTTCATTCATAATATTATCACCTATCGTGACATTAAATCGAGAAAAATTTTATTTTAATAAGTATTCTCTCAAATATCGTTCGAATAACGGATTTAACTCGGAGAAGTGACGTAATCCATCGATTATTGATAACGAATCGCACCACTAACCGTATATTTACCGACTTTAATTGCACTCTATTCCGAATACAGACGGTACTTGTGCTACAATCAATGTATTAAATGGAGACGAGAATCCATAAATTGACTCATTGTGAATCGACATGGATTTGAAAAATCGAGAAAAAATTCATGAATCCATGAAAATGAGTGGTTTCCTGAAAATTTCAACTCGATTAAGCTCGAATAATATTGAGATAACTATCCTCGAATAATGTGAGTTATTATTAACTTGATGAATTCATTAACATTCATTAAAGGATTATCTCCACGTCGAATATTCCCAAAACATTAAAAACTTTTCGTCAACTACATTTAAGTGAAGCTGAAGAGCATAATATAGCTAGAAAAGTACCACATAATTTGTGCAAAAAATTTGACTTAATTAAATACCCAAAAAATATTTTATCTAAAGAATACATAATTGATAATCCATTAATGGGAAAAAAAGAATTGTATGATAAATTGATTATCATAAAAATTATAAAAATGCACAAAGAAAGGTTTGTGCAAGTTATAACAAATATATTGTATAGTCTATATATCCTTTTTTGTAATATTAAAAATTAAATACACTTCCTTTTAATAATTGATAATTTTAATGGATAATTTTAATTACATACATATATTATATCTTTTGATTAAGGTAAAAGTGTTTCTAATAATATAGAATTTATTGAGTATTAAATAACATATTTATTTTTCGATGTAATGCTTTTTTAATAAATTTTTCTTAACATGCAAAACAAATTTTCAATATCAATATTTTGTCAATAAAACATTCGTACAGCTTTTTCAGTCTATCCTCAAAAATATACTTTTTAAATTAAAACATAATAAATTTACATTATAAACTTACTTTAAATTTCTTATATCAAGGATACAAAATGTTCTCCTTTGGAGGAAACATTTCGACTTTAATAAATGATGGATTCAAGACTTTTTTTTTACCAAATCCATTTCAGAAAAAAGTCATTACCTTGAGATCGGTGATGTTATAATTATTCCCCACAGAAGACTGCGGTGTAAAACGTGTAGGGGTAGTTGTGGTGGTTGTGGTAGTCGGAAATGATCGCTGTCTCGTTGAATTCGATAGTCTACTTCCTTCACCGATACGAACTGCTGAATTGCCTCTACCCACGTTTACGCCCTTGGAAACCGTTCCCCTGTTTCCAATTTTGATGCCTCCTTCTCTAATAGTGTTACCCGGTGGACTACCTAGCACCAACAACGGTGCCATCACCAACGAGAGAATCCACGCAATCCTCATGGCGCGGAATTTGTTGCTCGAGCAAGCGACGACCGTTTTTGTCACGAGATGATCTGTCGACGATTGATTCGAACGGGTATCGCTTCTTCGTGCTATCTTGATTCTGAGCTTCCATTCAAAATACCGATGAATTCTTTAGCGTCGCGATGACGCAACGCAATTGCATGCACGCGCATTTCGACTGTCGTAACGTTGTTTCATCACGATTTGATTCGCCTGAAATACAAATTTATAATTTGTTAATATCAAATAAACAATGATTCAAGTATAGAAATCACAAAAAAGTTAAAAAAAGTTCTGTTAATCTTAGATAATTATAGCTTTTATTCAAAATTAAAATTTCTCAATATATATTATATTCAATGTTTTATTTTTAACTATATATTCTACTGTGAGTATGTTTTACTATCTTAAATTTTTAATAAAATCATTATCCCTTCGAGGGAAGCGGAACACGTGTAAATACTTAATATAAGGTACGGCAATAAATACAAGACAAGTTGAAATAATCCTTCATATTTCTTACTAAAGCTTTGACTAAGAAAGTCTTTAATTTAGTTGCCCTAATTTGCCGTCGGAGTAAATGCAGGCTCATCCTAAGGTTAATTCCCTTTAATTCCTCGGTTCGCTTCACCTCTTTTGTACTATTATCTAAATCGGGAGTTACAGTTTGGTATGTCTATAGAATATGTCTTCAACCAGTGAGCTATATGATAAGGTTTTGTTTTAAAGAGAATTGCATATGGATCAATCAAAGAACAGACGGCTGTATATAATGGTCAATTTCCCGTAGGATTAGTCGGACAGTTTGATCGGTCATCGCTACCTGTCATCGTACACGTATGTGAAATGCTCTATCTGACAGATCGAGTCTATCACAAATCGAGTCTGCACGTTGATACCGTAAATCTGTAAAGTCTAATCGGATAAATTCCAATTTCAACTGAACTTACGGCTTTGACATACATATATCATTTTCATGAATTAAAAATAATCTTAACTTAAATCTTTTAAGTTAAAAAAATATATATAATCGCAACATTACTACTCTCTTTATTTATTTAAAATATTTTGTAATACTGGACGAGGTGTGAATGCAAATTTAAACAGTATGTCATATTTTGTAAGAGAAATACGATAAAAAAATAATGATAAAACTTGTTAACAAGTTGGCTGATTAAAATTTGGCAAATAGATGTGGCATATAAATGTGAAATTGAAAAAAAGAGAAAATAGAATAAAAGAGTAATATACAAATTAATAATACAATTAACACAATACTTAGTTTTGGATAAAAAAACAGAACATCTTGTTTAAATCATCATAAGATATACGTTCTAAAATATACTTCTTAAGTTATCAAAATTTTTTCAAAATTTTTTTTGGAAATTATCATTGCAGAAAAAAAATTTTCAAAATTTCTAAAATTGACAGAAAAAAAGATGTACATGTTTATTTATTATATATATGTATAACGAATATTATATATATGTATAAGTATGTCTATTTTACATATAAGTATGAATATTTTATTTTCTTTTAATATGTAATAAAAAAAAATATTTTATAAAGAAATACTGAAAGTTATATCAAGTTATATAAATCGATTTCATTCGAAACTTGACACCTGAATGTTGTATTCAGAGCACATAAAAGAGATACATATTTTCTTATGGAAATATGATACAGATTGATATCCAGGAATAAAGCAGCAAGCACGCTTCATGTTCAAATATAATCCTTATATCGTACTTTAAAAAATTTCAAATAGAACGTTCAACTTTCAATAGTCTTTCTTCAGTTTCAGAATTTTCCGATTTGATTTTTCGGACTTCACTAGAATACTTCAGTCTTTTAAAGAACGAGCTTTCAAATCCTGTAACGAGCGAAACTTACACGAGCGTGATCTTACATAAGTTCAGCGACTAGTCGGCAATATCTAAAAGAAAAAAACTTTTGATTCAGTAATATTTAAAAGAAGAAAAAACTTTCGATTTTGAAGAAAATATAGTCGATGAAAATATGAAATATATCAAATTAGATTCGATCAATTTATTACATAAATAATTTTAACCATGTGTAGAATATATATTTGTATTTCCAATTATAAACAAATATGTTTTACGTAAAATATTTTCCATTAAATTAAATTTTAGTTAATTGTAACTTTAAAATATGGTATTACATTCAAAGAAATAAAAAAAATTTTCTTGATTTTTAGCTTATAAATTTTCATAAATTTTATGGATTCTCGGTTATTTTAAACAAAATTTAAGTTTCTATAAAATTGAATGTTCAATTGAAGTAAATAAACATTCAAATATGTCAATCATGTTAAGTAGAAGTTTACCAACTTTTGTAAGATTTTCTATTCTAAAGTAGGTTCCTATTTTGTGGCGTGAAAGCTTTTCATGGCTTTCCTTTCGTAACATAAAACGTATATATTGGTCCTTTCACGTTACGGTCGACAATTTTTCTAAGTTTCATCGAACTTCAATCATTCAACTTCCAATAACAAATGTGAACAAGATTGTATCATTGATGCGTGTGTCTAGAGCATATATATAAAACTAATAGCAAGATAATTTTACTATATAATTTTCATATTTTTCATTGTAGACCTACTGTAAAAAAATTGTAAAAATATATATGAAATATTATGATTTAAGTGATCTTTCATTAACTGACACATAAACTTTGTCCCATAGAAAATATGTGATGCGTTGTCGATAACGAAAATGATATATTGCCGATATTTCCTGCTTTATTTCTCGATTGTCAGACCTGCATTCAAAATGACGTTTGTTTCAACTTTGACATGCTGGCAGCTGTTTCATTATTGCAGTGTTTCTACTACGCAGACTCTCGTCGGTTCCGACTGCAATTTATATTTTGAACACGTATGAAATGCTATACATATGACATGACGATAGGTATTTTTAAATGTTTAGTTATCTTTCTCGGGGACTGTTATTAATCATTGACATGGTAATAGAGTGATTTGCATGGAAATCGTAATAATAGAAGCATTATACGTATTAACGTCACATGCGAATTCGATTTGTAATTTACGAGTAATGTGCTTGACTTTACATGCAAACCATTTTAATTCCAAGCCAGCGTTATATATTCAAATGTAAAATGTAAAACGCAGACAACTAGTAAATTCAATCGCGACGCATTGCATTGTATTTCCTACTTGCATAACAATAATTTTTATTATAATGCGAATGCAACATATAATTAAGATGCCTTATAGCCAATGTGATTTCTCTTAATATAAGCGTATAATTTTGCTTCAAATAGAATTTAATAGTTATTTAAAGCTATTATATTATTTAACTATAGATTATATAGCAATTTTATTATTAATATATTTATGAATTCATTTCTTAATAGGATAGAAAGTTTACTTTAATGTAACAATCTATATATTAGATATATATACATCAGATTAATTCTCCAAAACTTTGAAACAGTTAAATAACTAAAGATAAAGGGATTTAATGCTTATCTTATATAAGTAATTGGTTAACAATTTGAGAGTTGAATAAAAGTAGACAACATAGTGACAGTTCCACTGTATCTCATAACATAAATTCTTCTTTAACTTTTTACGAGATACTTTCATCTTGTCAGGTTTGTCTGAGTTTATTGTGAAAGTTTATCTCATTCTCTCCTTTTCCTTTCGAGCTTCTTCAAAAGGCGATTTTCGAAGTCAAATATTTGTTTTAGACCATGATGCAAGAATGTCTAATGATCCTCACAAGATTGAGCTTTTTTGTGTTAAAATACATACTATACAGAAATATATTACCTATTTCTGTTATAGACCTACAATCAAAGATAAAATCGTCATTTGGCGAATTTAAAATCATTATTTGTCAAATTTAAAAAAAGAGTTCCTGAGAGTTAAATCTCAAAAATTTTGTGCAAGTTGTTTTGCACATTTACAATAAAGTATCATTATTAAAATATTAATATATTTTATTTAATATATTTTAGTTATTAATTCTGAACTATTTAAATATTATATTTTACGTATATTCTTGAAGAAATTACTGTTATGTGATGCAAGGGAGAATGATATTTATAACTTTATGTAATCGAATCCTTCACAATATAAATATTTACGAAATGTTCAGCATCTCAGCAGGCAATCAACGAGTCGACAGGCGATTATAGTGGTCCATAGGGTATATTGGCACAAGCATACAGCTACGAGACGGTTGAGTTTTTACTATCACATATTGCTTTGACCCGCGTTTATCGCCCCTACGTATCAGATTTCGCGATATTGAACCACGTCTCATACGGATGGCCTTTGGTAAACCGACCACTGGTCGTCGCGGATTCCTGTGGCCTGGCTCTATCTCTGAACCCTTGTGTCTTCTATTAAGGCGCCAAACTAACCAAGGGGACTACCTGCCGCTATCCATTGATCTATTTGTGATAATTACACATCCAATTAACAAGCACCTTTGTAACATCAAACGTCGGATATTAAATCGGCTACTAACAATAATTAATAATTCTAATGTAGAAATAATGTAAGTACCGAACAATTATTTTTAAGAAACAGAATTTAGTATACTTAAATAATATAAAGAATTCATATTAAATTCTAATATTTGTAAAAATTGATAAATTTAATGATTATTTGACAAATTTCTTTGATATGTTTTGCTTAAAAATTCAAGCAATTTCTCTGTATATATTATTAAAAAAAAGAATAAATAAATAAACAATTATTGCGATAATTTTTGTAAAAACATGAAGCTGCATTTCTAAGTAGACTAAGTGTATAGTCTCTTTACAAGAAGTACATTAAGTTTTAAAATGCACTATAATGCATGAAAAATGGAAACTGCATTGCAAACAGTGATATAGTAAATTGTGGACATGACCGAGTTTAATGAACAATGTAATAAAATATATCCAATCATAGTTCCAGGAATTTTCTTTTTGTATCAAATTCATGAAATTTTTTTAAATATTACCTTACGATTCAGTTCATCATATCATTGAATAATATCGTACGTATTTTTCACATATTCATTTCTTCATGGTACTTTCATCTTCTTCATAAGAAATTATATATCCATCATCTCTATTCTTCTCAATCACTACTTTTGAAACAAAATTAGCTAACATAATATATTGAAGCAATGTGTGTGTGTCTAGAAGCTACTTTGATTGAA